ATGCCACGTTCCTCAGGTGACGAGAAGTCAGGAAACGAACATGGGGTCCGCATGGCGCGAGCAGGGCTCGTCTCACGCCGCTGGTGCGGCCCGCCTTCCTCATCATCCCGGGAAAAGGAGTGTCAGACTCGTACTCGACCACCCCCACATCCCCGACGTGGTCACTCGTCACCGTTAGCGCGCGCAGAGTGCGACGTTCGGGCTCATCGAGCCTAGAATTTACATCCCTCGATGCCGCGAAGACACGGTCCGACATGACACCGTGTGCGGGAGATGAAGCTGGGCTCTGCCTGTGAGCGCTGTCGGAACCAGCGAGACTCGGAGACAGTGGGATCATTGACACGGGGCTCACTGAGCACGGAAGTGGTTTCGTTCCAACGCAGTGTCTAACGGACACGCAAGCCTCGTTCAGGCAATAATCGAATGGAACTGTGAATGTTTTCAATCTTAATGGGGGAGAGTGTAATGGGATTACACATACCCTGGTAACAGGGGCGTGTGTCACACCAGATGGGCATGGTGTGACCACACCCAAACAAGAATACGGTACGGGGCTAGCCAGCAGTTATGCAGTAGAACCTGTCTAAATTAAACCTATTCAATTTAAAACCCTCATTAAATTGAACAAAAGATATGGACCCATGTTGGGCACCATACTTATGCTACCCTCCCTTATTTAAGACCCTCTCTAAATCAAACACTGTTTCCCAGTCCCAACATGTTTAATTTAGACAGGTTTCACTGTACATGTATTTAGATTTCACTATACATATTGGGTAAAATCTATGCATTTAAAATTAGGCGGATTTGCCACAGATAAAAATAAATAAATTTAGTTTTGAATTTGAATCGAAGAGATAATCAGCCTAGGGTTGAGGCTAAAATTACTTTTGGAGTAAGCGGATTGCGATCGACTGTGCTCGTACTTGTTCTGAGTATAGAACGAGAGGTCGGTGACCTAAATAACGTTTCAGAGCGCAAAGCTACGGCAGCTCCGCTGCAGAAAGGCTGACGATACTAGTCGACTTTTAGGCATCATCTTGGCTACATTTCGTAGCAAATTTTAGCGGTTTAATGCAGGGATTAGGCATCATGCCTCACATTTTCGACACAGTGACTAACAGCTAGGACATGCAAAAACAGCATGCATATGTCAGAGGCAGACAAAGCACCGCATAAGGTTTATAGGTATATTAAGCAGACTGAACGCTGTTGCTGTCTGCAAATCTTGTGTCTACATTCTGTGCGATGAAGGTAATTCTTCTATACTGAACCGAAAAACATTCAGCTTCTTAGAAAAACATACGAAAGCCAACATTGACAAACTGCTTATCAAAGTGCATACACTAACGCACAGCTCGTAAGTGTTCAACGTGGTTGTTTCGATTTCTTTTACTTATTATTATCATAGACGGAACGTCATCAAGACAGATATGTGCATAATTAAGATGAGACCCAGACATTCTTGTCACGAGACGTTCGTTCGTTGCAAGTGTATTCAATAGACTGTGGTGTTTACTGTGCCCAGGTTCATAGCACCCCACTCAGAATACTTACTGTCAAAACCAAGCAGAGCACTCATTCCATAAATATTAATCAATCGTACCGTCGACTTATCTGAAATCCTAGATTTTAGACTCAGTTTTGTATAAATACGTGCACAATTACACATGCCCCCTCTCTCTGCTGCTAACCGCTTCGAAACAGAATGTCGGCTTCGGGAGAATAGCTTTGCACTTACGCATCTAGCCGCTCTGTATTTGCACAGAAGAAAGTATCATTCTTATTGCACTATCTCTCAGGCTAGTATCATTGACGTATCACGCAGTATCTGGTTCATAAACCAGATACTGCGTGATACGTCAAAAAATCCGCGATAACATTATCGCGGATTTCGTTTAGTTAAGGACAAATTGAATTGGTTTGTGCTTTGAATAAGCTGATCCGCACACAACATTCTTTTCAGGTGTTCGCAACCCATCCTTGACATATGATGATCTTAGCCGCTCTACAGGCACTATCTGTAACAGCTCTACGATCCCACCGACGTGCAATGCTTTGAATTGATTTAGGCGAATAGTACTATCAAAAGAAGCTTACACCTTATAATCGCAGTGGGCAACTCAGCTTCCTTTGTACGGCCTACTCGCAACCAAGCATAACAGGTAGTCAGAAATTCGCGAATCTCTTGTTCATTTTTTGGTGAATATACACTGTACTATGTATGAATAAATATTCTTTAGACATCGAAATTAGAATTCATTGTCACGCTTAGTTGCCTATCCGTATAACTTTAAAGGGACAAACAATAGCTACCGCGACATACGATCGCTGTCACCCGTCTCAACAAATATTTTTGTAGACTGCGTCTCAACCGCTCTTTGTCTCCGGTCCTTACTCAATGCTTCAAACAAAACTATGCCTCCTTTCTTGAGAACATTATAGATGATGTCGTAGCAGAATACCCGTGCTAAATTATTCTGTTATCGAGCAGAGGGAGTGCGTGCCGCTTATTGTGTCAAATCCATATTTTAAACGATCCATTCTAGAATAGAGTATCGACTCTAATTCTTATCTGATACCAAGCAGCATATTGTGTAATTTTAGTACTCAAACCTCCTCATTAGATGCAGACGAGCCGTCAGCATGTCATCTACATGAGATGCATTAATTACGAGCTCACACTTGGCCCTTTCAATACATTTACGCATTATAAACTGTTTTTGACAATTAATTGCACAGCGCACCTCAATCTGTCGAGACTTTGCACGACTTCACGATACCCGATACTCTGGTGCCATTGACAGCTAACCTGGCTTTGAGGCCCATTCTCTTTAGTTGCGCAGTTCCATTTGGGGCTAAATCCCATTGCCTTTGATCTCTACGACGTGCAACTGAGCCCAGTTCCTTACACTTTGGCCTCGACAGCCGCCGGTGAGGTATTCATCGATCGACCCCAGTTGGAGATATCGACCTTATTTAGCTGAAGAAAT